TTATTGTAGTAGGTTGGTTTGTTGCTTGCTTTTTCATCTTCTGGCTTAGGTTTTATTATTAGTGTAGTTTTTGTTTTCGTTTTTTTTTTGTTTCTTTTTTTTAATTTTGAAAGTTTTATAATAACATACCATTGAAATATGTTCATGTTATATATAAGAGAATTCTTAATATTGTATATTATTCATCCATTTAGCCAGCAAAAGATACATTCACACACTTACATTCCATTTTGACTTTGAAATCTGAATGCATGAATAATTGTTTTTCATTCTTCTCCAAAATCATATTCTTTCTGCTACAACAATGTACACGTTTATACATTTTTCAACTTATTATATTTATATTATATACAAGTGGATGAATGGATGGATGGTTGATGATGATGATGTGCTTCAGTTAGTAGAAAGAAAGATACGTAAAACTTAAGAACATGCTTTCATTAAATCATTTTACACTAGATAAGTGAACAACTTTTTTTCTATTAAATTTTAAAATTAATTTTTTTTGTAATTGTAGTGCACTGTTATATGTAAGAGCTTTTAGTATAATATTTTTCTAGTTACAAGTTAAATTTTTTTGAAATAGTTAAGTTATTATAGAATTTTAAAATGTATTGTAGCTTGGTGTTAATAAATTATTTATTTCATTTTGTCTTATCAAATAAACATGATCTAATTTGAGTGTAATTTGTCAAGAGCGTGTATGATTCAGTTAATTTTGGGTTTGTGTTTTTGCTTTTAATTTCATTTTTTTTAGTATGTATTGGTTTTCTCACTTTGAACTATTATCTGAAAAACATATGATTACTGAATGTTAATTATAACAGATTATAATACCAATTATACCTAAATGGTTACGTTATAAGGCTTTTAGAACTTTTCTGTAAGTTCGGAAATCTTTCCGAATTACCTTTAAATTTTAAAAGAAATGTTTAAATTTTTTTCATCAATTAGATTTTTGAGATATCGAGTCCTAAAGATAGATAGATAGATAGATAGATAGATAGATAGATAGATAGATAGATAGATAGATAGATAGATAGATAGATAGATAGATAGATAGATAGATAGATAGATAGATAGATAGATAGATAGATAGATAGATAGATAGATAGATAGATAGATAGATAGATAGATAGATAGATAGATAGATAGATAGATAGATAGATAGATAGATAGATAGATAGATAGATAGATAGATAGATAGATAGATAGATAGATAGATAGATAGATAGATAGATAGATAGATAGATAGATAGATAGATAGATAGATAGATAGATAGATAGATAGATAGATAGATAGATAGATAGATAGATAGATAGATAGATAGATAGATAGATAGATAGATAGATAGATAGATAGATTAGATAGATAGATAGATAGATAGATAGATAGATAGATAGATAGATAGATAGATAGATAGATAGATAGATAGATAGATAGATAGATAGATAGATAGATAGATAGATAGATAGATAGATAGATAGATAGATAGATAGATAGATAGATAGATAGATAGATAGATAGATAGATAGATAGATAGATAGATAGATAGATAGATAGATAGATAGATAGATAGTAGTAGATAGATAGATAGATAGATAGATAGATAGATAGATAGAAGATAGATAGATAGATAGATAGATAGATAGATAGATAGATAGATAGATAGATAGATAGATAGATAGATAGATAGATAGATAGATAGATAGATAGATAGATAGATAGATAGATAGATAGATAGATAGATAGATAGATAGATAGATAGATAGATAGATAGATAGATAGATAGATAGATAGACAGATAGATAGATAGACAGATAGATAGATAGATAGATAGATAGATAGATAGATAGATAGATAGATAGATAGATAGATAGATAGATAGATAGATAGATAGATAGATAGATAGATAGATAGATAGATAGATAGATAGATAGATAGATAGATAGATAGATAGATAGATAGATAGATAGATAGATAGATAGATAGATAGATAGATAGATAGATAGATAGCTAGATAGATAGATAGATAGATAGATAGATAGATAGATAGATAGATAGATAGATAGATAGATAGATAGATAGATAGATAGATAGATAGATAGATAGATAGATAGATAGATAGATAGATAGATAGATAGATAGATAGATAGATAGATAGATAGATAGATAGATAGATAGATAGATAGATAGATAGATAGATAGATAGATAGATAGATAGATAGATAGATAGATAGATAGATAGATAGATAGATAGATAGATAGATAAATAGACAGGACAGATAGATAGGTCGTGAAATCGAAAACAATTTCGATATCGAAATTTAGCTTCAATATATCAGGCATCCGCCCATAAGTTAATTGAGTTTTGATTTGATTGAGATTTTTCTCAACGAATTATTACTACTTCCTCTTATTTTCTATATAAATACAACAAACATCATTAAACTTAACAATACAAAAAAATAAAAAATCAATTTCCAAAGTGTTAATGCACTTTCAAAGACTTTTTTGTTGAATGTTTGTTTATGCGAAAAATCTTAAATTTCTTAACATAGTGCGAAACGTATGATATGAGAAATCAAATATTCTATTCATTACGAAATAAATTGTTGATTTTCTAATGAAGTGTAAGAAACGTACAGTGGTTAAAATGTATATAAGTAAAAATTAAAAATTTTTATCAAATAGATTTTAGGGTTAGTTCTCCTTGTTTTGAAGTACATATTTTGGAAAGTTTTTTACTTTATAATATAATATAAAAAAAATGTATTTTTACATCTATGTCTTTCTAAACTACTGTACCAAGTAATTTAGGTTAAATACGTTTTCTAAGGTTGGTTTTTTCTTCTTTATTGTTGTTTTTATTTATTTTTTTTGTTGATGTTCTATATCTCCCTTCAATCATTGTCAAACAGAAACTAACAACAATGATGATTATGTTTTTTTATTTCGCTTTTCATTTTGGCTTAATGCCAAAAGCAATTTTATGCTTAAACCATGTAGAAATTGAAAAGAACATACCACCATCACCTAACCTTAACTACTACCTGTTCAAGAAAGTAATAGAAATTTTGTTAAGAAAGAGAGCAAAAAGACGTTTTACAAGCTAAATAATGAACAACTAGTTAAAGGAAATTCAAACACTTAATGGGAACAACGTAAAGAAAGCAAAAATAATAAATCACAGAGCATAAAGGCTAAATATGAATGGATTTAAAAATTGTTATGAAAAGCTCCAAAAGAAAATAAATCTAAAAAATTGTTTTAGGAATGAAGTTAGAATAAAAATAAGACTTCGTGTAATGATGAAATGATAAAAAATGTGTGCCTTATCTCATGTCTTAAGCTTCTCATGGAAAGTGGGCTAGAACTAAACTAGAACGGAACTAGATTTGAATTAGAACTGAACTAGGACTGAACTAGATCTGCATAGAACTGAACTAGAACAGAACTAGAACTGAACTAGAAGTGAACTAGAACTGAATTAGAACTGAACTAGAACTGAATTAGAACTGAACTAGAACTGAACTAGAACTGATCTAAAACTGAACTAGAACTGAACTAGAACTGAACTAAAACTGAACTAGAACTAAACTAGAACTGAACTAGAACTGAACTAGAACTGAATTAAAACGAACTAGAACTGAACTAGAACTGAACTAGAACTGAACTAGAACTGAACTAGAACTGAACTAGAACTGAACTAGAACTGAACTAGAACTGAACTAGAACTGAACTAGAACTGAACTAGAACTGAACTAGAACTGAACTAGAACTGAACTAGAACTGAACTAGAACTGAACTAGAACTGAACTAGAACTGAACTAGAACTGAACTAGAACTGAACTAGAACTGAACTAGAACTGAACTAGAACTGAACTAGAACTGAACTAGAACTGAACTAGAACTGAACTGAACTAGAACTGAACTAGAACTGAACTAGAACTGAACTAGAACTGAACTAGAACTGAACTAGAACTGAACTAGAACTGAACTAGAACTGAACTAGAACTGAACTAGAACTGAACTAGAACTGAACTAGAACTGAACTAGAACTGAACTAGAACTGAACTAGAACTGAACTAGAACTGAACTAGAACTGAACTAGAACTGAACTAGAACTGAACTAGAACTGAACTAGAACTGAACTAGAACTGAACTAGAACTGAACTAGAACTGAACTAGAACTGAATAGAACTGAACTAGAACTGAACTAGAACTGAACTAGAACTGAACTAGAACTGAACTAGAACTGAACTAGAACTGAACTAGAACTGAACTAGAACTGAACTAGAACTGAACTAGAACTGAACTAGAACTGAACTAGAACTGAACTAGAACTGAACTAGAACTGAACTAGAACTGAACTAGAACTGAACTAGAACTGAACTAGAACTGAACTAGAACTGAACTAGAACTGAACTAGAACTGAACTAGAACTGAACTAGAACTGAACTAGAACTGAACTAGAACTGAACTAGAACTGAACTAGAACTGAACTAGAACTGAACTAGAACTGAACTAGAACTGAACTAGAACTGAACTAGAACTGAACTAGAACTGAACTAGAACTGAACTAGAACTGAACTAGAACTGAACTAGAACTGAACTAGAACTGAACTAGAACTGAACTAGAACTGAACTAGAACTGAAGTAGAACTGAACTAGAACTGAACTAGAACTGAACTAGAACTGAACTAGAACTGAACTAGAACTGAAGTAGAACTGAAGTAGAACTGAAGTAGAACTGAACTAGAACTGAACTAGAACTGAACTAAAACTGAACTAGAACTGAATTAGAACTGAAATAGAACTGAATGAAAATAAATATTTGAAATCAAATCTATTCCCAAATATAAGAGTAAATAAAAAAACACTTTGATGGCTTTTAAATGTAGCATTTTGTTCCATTCGAGTTATAAATTAAAGCTTATAAGTTGTAATTTTATATTTAATATTCTAAATTTAAACGTTTTTCTTTTGTCTTTTTTAGGGTAAAGTTTACCTCTTCGATAAAGTCTTCAAACCAAATGCATCCCAAGAGAAAGTCTACAATGAAGCCGCTAAATCCATTGTTACCGATGTCTTGGCCGGTTATAACGGCACAATATTTGCCTACGGTCAAACATCTTCGGGTAAAACACATACCATGGAAGGTGTTATTGGTGATTCGGTGAAGCAGGGTATCATACCGCGTATTGTCAATGACATTTTCAATCACATTTATACGATGGAAATGAATTTGGAATTCCATATTAAAGTGTCCTACTATGAAATCTATATGGATAAGATTCGTGATTTACTCGACGTTTCCAAGGTAAATTTGAGCGTGCATGAGGATAAGAATCGCGTGCCGTATGTAAAAGGTGCCACAGAGCGTTTTGTCTCATCGCCGGAAGATGTATTTGAGGTCATAGAGGAGGGTAAATCAAATCGTCACATTGCCGTTACAAGTAAGTTATTTTTATTATGGGATAAAAGGTCGCCTTTAACTAATAAATTCCATAATTTGTTTTAACCGATTTCCAGACATGAACGAACATTCTTCACGTTCTCACTCAGTATTCTTGATTAATGTTAAACAAGAGAATTTAGAAAATCAAAAGAAATTGTCGGGTAAATTGTATTTGGTCGATTTGGCTGGTTCTGAAAAGGTATCGAAAACCGGTGCCGAAGGTACTGTCTTAGATGAGGCGAAAAATATTAACAAATCTTTGTCCGCTTTGGGTAATGTTATCTCTGCCTTGGCCGATGGCAATAAAACGCACATACCCTATCGTGACTCGAAATTGACACGTATTCTCCAAGAATCTTTGGGTGGTAATGCACGCACAACTATTGTTATTTGCTGTTCTCCTGCCAGTTTTAACGAAGCTGAAACCAAGTCCACTCTTGAGTTTGGTCGCAGAGCCAAGACTGTCAAGAATGTTGTCTGTGTCAATGAAGAGTTGACGGCCGAAGAATGGAAACGTCGCTATGAAAAGGAGAAGGAAAAGAATGCTCGTCTCAAGGGTAAGGTGGAGAAACTTGAATTGGAATTGGCCCGCTGGCGTGCCGGTGAAACGGTCAATGCCGAGGAACAGGTCAATGTAGATGATGTCATGGAGGCCAGTACTCCCAATCTGGAGGTTGAACCTGTTGCTCCCGCTGCTACTACCGCTCCTGTGCCAGCCACACCTGCGGCCGGTCTTATGTTAGGCTCCATTAGTAGTGATGAACGTGCCCGCTTGGAGGCAGAACGTGAACGCCTGTACCAACAATTGGACGAGAAGGATGAGGAAATCAATCAACAGAGTCAATATGTTGAAAACCTCAAGGAACAAATCCTCGAGCAGGAAGAACTTATTGCCAATGCTCGTCGTGAGTATGAGGCTCTTCAATCGGAAATGGCACGCATCCAACAGGAGAACGAATCGGCCAAGGAAGAAGTCAAAGAAGTTTTACAGGCCTTGGAAGAATTGGCTGTTAACTATGACCAAAAATCTCAAGAAATCGATACCAAGAACAAGGATATCGACACCTTAAATGAAGAACTGCAGCAAAAGCAGACTTTGCTTAACACTACCACCGCTGACTTGCAACAACTTCGTGATATGTCCTCTCACCAAAAGAAACGCATCAACGAAATGTTGTCCAATTTATTGCGCGATTTGGCTGAAGTAGGTCAAGCCTTAGCATCGGGCGATTCTGCGATGGATATGAAAATGAATAGCATACCTAGTGCCGGCGACAGTGGCAAAGTGGAAGAAGATTTCACTATGGCTCGCCTGTACATTAGCAAAATGAAAACCGAAGCCAAAAATATGGCTCAACGTTGCTCCAGCATGGAAACTCAACAGGTGGATTCAAATAAGAAACTTTCCGAATACGAAAAGGATCTCGGAGAGTACCGCCTACTTATCTCACAACATGAGGCTCGCATGAAATCTCTACAGGAATCAATGCGTGAGGCTGAAAACAAGAAGCGTGCCCTTGAAGAGCAAATCGATTCATTGCGCGAAGAGTGTGCTAAACTCAAGGCCGCCGAACATGTGTCCGCAGTTAATGCCGAGGAAAAACAAAAGGCCGAACAACTACGTTCCATGTTCGATTTACAAATGGACGAATTACGTGAAGCTCACACCAAACAGGTGTCCGAATTGCGTGATGAAATCATTGCCAAACAGCATGAAATGGATGAAATGAAGGATGTCCATCAGAAATTAATATTGGCACATCAGCAAATGACGGCCGATTATGAGAAACTCAAGCAAGAAGAGGCTGATAAATCCAATAAATTACAAGAAATCATACTCACCAACGACAGACGTGAACAGGCACGTAAAGATTTGAAGGGTTTGGAAGATACAGTAGCCAAGGAATTGCAAACTCTACACAATTTGAGAAAGTTGTTTGTACAAGATTTGCAAGTAAGTGCTTTTCTGCCAATAAATGTAAAATATTTGAATTTATTTTGACTTATCTATGTTGTGTGTTTTAGGTCCGTATCAAGAAAACTGTCATCAACGAAGACAGCGAAGAAGATGGTGGCTCACTGGCCCAAAAACAAAAAATCTCCTTCCTCGAGAACAATCTCGATCAACTCACCAAGGTACACAAGCAATTGGTGCGCGACAATGCCGATTTGCGTTGCGAATTGCCCAAATTGGAGAAACGTTTGCGCACGACAATGGAACGTGTCAAGGCCTTGGAAACAGCGTTAAAAGAAGCCAAAGAAGGCGCTATGCGTGATCGTAAACGTTATCAATATGAAGTTGATCGTATTAAGGAAGCCGTACGACAAAAACATCTCGGACGTCGTGGTCCCCAAGCGCAAATTGCAAAACCCATACGTGCTGGTCAAGGTGCAATTGCAATTCGTGGTGGTGCCGGCGCTAATCCCACACAAATGCCTCAAGCAAGTGCTGTTAGTTCGTAAAAAGATTAATTTGTAATTTTTACTACAATTATTATTATTATTATTTTTA